AAAGGCACATCTCCATTTAAAGAGAGAAATATTAATAGAGAGCAATGTTTTGACAAGAGGCATAATCAACATGTGAAACTCTCTGCCAGAAGGTCTCATCAAGGGCAAAAAGTGGAGAAGCAATTGTGATGAGATAACCCCAGATATGTGAGTTTAGATAATTCTTTTATTTTTAGCCTGTTTTCATGGAAATAGGTCTTATGCAATCTGCTGTCTGGGTGCAGGAGGTAATGAGAGCTGGTGTCTGCAAACTCAAAACTGAAATCACTTCTTGCAGTCACACAGCATCTTTTTAAAGCCCAATCAATGTGTTTATGTGGGCAAGCACAGATCTCTGCAGAGGTAGAGCCACTGGCTCTACCAGATTGCACAGATGGGCTGTAGGTCAGTACATCTGGAGGTGAGTCCATGTGCTCTTGCAAAACCAAACCCAGCCCTAGTGAGAATTAGCCTTGAGCCCTGGATCCTGCTCAGCTCACAGGGCATTTCTCTTCCCTGGTTTTCTTCACAGAGACCAGGAAATCTTGCATTAAGGAGCAAGGGGTGCTTGAGGCCTTGGAGTTAGTATGGGGAGTGTGGAGAAGGTGAGAGAAGTAGAGGCTGCAGCCATCTCTGGGTGAAATGCATCCCCTGGGCTGGTCTCTAAGCTCTCAGCTATAGACCTGAGGGTCCCTGAGGTTTGGTAGAGCTGTGCTGGGTGGCTGCAGGACCTGCAGTGTCAAGTTGCCTTCCTTTTGTTGGACCTCACTACTTCCCTGATGTTTTTCTGCAACCTCTTTCTTGGGGAGAGATTCTTTTCCACAGGATGGTTTGAGTTGGAAGGGACCTTAAAGATCATCTAGTTTTGCACTTGCCACTCTTTCCTAGGGTAGAAGCCAATCAATCTGGGGGGAGAAGAACTCTGTCTTTGATCCAGGGCCATAGAAACATCCCTGTCCCGGGCTGTGGGTCTTTGTGCAGGGCATTGTGCAGGATCCTCTGACGAGCAAGGGACATTCATGAATTTGGATTGCAAACTGTCAGCAGGGGCTGATTTAGGAATTCCACTTTGAGTGTGGAGTTACTCTCATAAAACAAGGGTCAGTGCCAGCTCACTGCAGGGTGAGGCTGGTGGCTCATCTCTGCTTTCTCTCTAACCTTTAGCCACGGGATCCCTTTGCATAATTTTTATCAATGGTGAGTGTCACTTCCCAGACTGGGGTTGCATAATGCCCTGTGGTTTTCTCTACCCTTTGCTTAGGACTGTGACATTGGCAGCTTCTTCCTGCCTGTGGTTTCCTTCCTGCTGGTGCATGGTGAAGGCAGAAGGGCTGCTGTGATCCTTTTAGTGCTGCAGAGCGCAGGGCCCCACGTGTCTGGCAGCCTGTCCTGAGGAGGTGCAGACAACATCCCTCTGCCCTGATGCAGGGGCAGAAATCAGCCTGCTTCTGCCAGCTAACAGGGGCTTGTCCTGAGGGTAAACCCTCTGCAGAGCTGGGGAGGCTGCAGACTGAGGCAGTTGTCTCAGCTTTCCTTAGGCTTGGGGGCCAGAAGCAATGCTGCCCTCTTCCAATGATATTGGCCTTTGTCTTCTCCTCTGGTCCAAATGAATCTTGTGACATTGGCTGGCTGCCCTGTCTGGACACGGGACTTTCTTGCTGCTCTCTTCTCGCTCTTGTATCACTTACTTCTTGAAATGAGAGGCCCTAAGAGGCAAGTTCCCCACCCCAGGACTGAGCAAATCTGGGAGTCTGACCACACACTGTCCATGCTGCTCCCGGCTGTGCTCTCAGTACAGCCCTTCACATGTTACCATGCCTCGACTTGTCACCCTCGGCCTGGCCAGCAGGTCAGTGACCACTCTGCTCTTTTAATCATGCTCACAGCCCCTGGGGTAATGTGGTTTTTAGACTGTAATTCCCTCATCTTAAGGAGACCCATGTAAGGCAGTGCCAAAAGCATCTGATAATGCAAGTCTAGTGCCATGTTTGATTACCACCAGCTTTCTGGTACCTCTCCCACTCCACTTGAGTCTGCCCTGCTAATCACCAGTGATTCAGAGATGGCCACAGCCTGGCTTGGGAGGGAGTTAGGGGAGTCTTTGGGGTCTTTATGCTTGACTACCCCTGCCTTATCTACCCTTTCCTTATTTGTTCTTTTCCCTTATCTCACCTGTGTGCACACTTTATTGTGTTGACTACTTGACCATAACCTGCTGTTTTGTTTATTCAAAACAAGCCAAAAAGAGTTAGCATCTTTGACTGCTTGCTCCCCTTCCTAGCTACTGGGCTTTTACTTTCTTCTGGTTTTCACAGCTGGGGTTTCTGGTCTCCTGTGTTTCCTCCTCTCTTGTGGTTCTCTGCTGGATTAGAAAGTCATCTCCTTACAGAGATCTTCCATGGCAGGAGAAATAAAAACCGTAAGTCATTTCTTCACTCTCCCTTTACATCAGTTCCTTGTATGCACTCACATGCAAACTGTCTGCTTTTGCTGAACTGCAACTTTGAAGAATTTGTTGAAATATCCTGGATTCCAGTTAGAATGAAAAGTATTTCATCAGCATCTAGGAAGAAGTCCCATCCGGCTCTCATCTGAATGGAGAAGTGAAAGCTTGACCAACCACTTCTGCACCAAAAAGGAAACATTGCTGTCATTTCCAGGAGAAATAATCTGTGCAATTGTGAGGTTTCATCTGTGGTTCCTACCGGATGACAAACTTTCCTCTGGTAACTGCTAAAGCTGATGCCCACAGGTCATCACGCTTCTCCTTGTTACTGCGGTGATCTCAGGGTGTGAGATATTCCTTACATCCTGGCATTTGTTGTTTCCCATTCCTACTCTCTTGCCTATCCCATCCCAGCCCTTTTATCTCTGCTTGGGCAGGCAAAGGGGCTCCCACCAAGCACTGCCCACTGTCATAGCTCATCTCCTGCCTGTGACCCTGCTCTCCTGCCCAAGCCCAGCTCACCCCTGCCTCAGGGCTGCTCTCCCCAGTAGTATCCCATGGCATTTGGGTAGCTCAGCATCTTGTTCTACAGTGGAGCCGGAGAGCAAGTGCTGGTTGCCTTCATTATAACAGCCTGTTGTGTGCTGATGTTCTCCCTCACACTTCTTGTTAAACAAAGCAAAGCTGGCTCTGGTGAGTGCAGGATTGATGCCGGAATGGGGTGGTTGGAGGGCAGAGGTCTGGGGCAGGTCTCTGTGGGAGACACAAGGGCATTAATTTAATGCAGTGGCATTAAACCAGAAAAACTCATGCAGTTCTTCAGTCCTCTGAGAAACCGAGCCTCTTCCTTCTGCTCTTGTGTATCCAGCGGCATTTGACAAGCAGATGCATTTACAGCAGGTACTACCTCTCCTGCAAGCCCTTCTCAAATGCCTCGGGTGAAAACACAGGTCACCAAAGGATTTAGTCATTTGTAGCCCTAGGTACACAGTGGCTTAAGCAGAAAGAGCTGAAACATGGCCAGTTGGAGAAGGGAGCTGGAGGGGTTGTATCTGTTCCTTCTACTGCCCACCCCCTCCTGAAGGTCTCCAGTGAGATGATTTACGCCCATTCTCATCTGTCTCATCTTGCCTAAAAGAAGCAATCATGATTAGGAGAAAACCTAATCCTACACCTCCTCTCATACAAGAGATGCTCAGAGGAATGCATCCTTCAGACAGAGACCCTCTCAAAGCAGGAGATTTATCCCTAAGCATGAACAGGGAGCATTGCCCCTGCCATGGGGTGAGGATGAGAGAATGGGTACAACTATTTCTCAGCATCTCCATGAGTTAGACTTTTACATTGAGTCTTATCAGGAATTAATCATGCCAGAGCAAGGGTCAGGAGGCAGGGGTTTGCCTGGGAGCTGGGCAGCAAACCCTTTGTGGCACCACAGAGCAGCATCAGGACAAAGCCAGTAAAAAGGGGGGCAGGGGGGGGGAAGGGGGAAGGAACAAGTTGAGCAGCTCTTTCTGGATGTGCACCAGTGGGATGCTTGGGAATTATCCTCTGGGATTACAAATGCTGCCCCTTTACAGTCACGCTGCAATCTCCTGGAAGTTTCATCTGCAAGGCTGCAATGAGCTGATTTCAGAGGGCACCACCTGAATCCTCTCCTCCAGCTCCTGCTTTTAACTCCCTGTCTCCTGACACACATATACCTGCTTTGTGGGGGGCGAAGCCAGTAGAAAGAGCTTAAATTGGAGGAAATTCTCCTGCATGGGAGGACGTGGGCAAGCAGTAACTGCAGTAACTTGACTGTCAGGCGATTGCAGACTGCAGCCCAAAACTGAGGTTCTTGAGGTGTAAATCCTCTGTTCAACCTGGGGACAGAGGGTGCCAGGCTAGGCTGCAGCCTGAGCCCACTGCTCCAGCCCTGGAGTGGGGCAAGAGGCCACTCCCTAGAGGTCTATTCCTCCATGTCTCTGCAACCTCTGCAGTCTGAGGATAAAGCTTTTCACCGTATTATTACCAAAAAGGGGATAAATGTGAGACACCCCCAACCTCCAGTGACTTCCAACTCAACACAACCTCAGTCCTACATGATCTTCCCTTGCAAATGTGTCCAATCAAGAATGAGGGCTTGCAGGAGAAATAACTGTATGTGCAATGCATCACTACGGAGCTAACTCTGTATCCCTGCTGCGAGCAGGGGAGCAGGCTGAGAAGGGCTGTTTGTGCCAACACTGGGGCTAAGCTGGGAGCTTTCTCCTGGCAGTGCTTTTCTGCCAGCAACAGCAGCAGAGCCTGGGGGGGTCCATCCCCAGAGCAGCTCCTCAGCCCCCAGCATGGTGATGCTGATGCTGCAAATCAAATCCCTGCCTGGAGCTTATTGCCACTGGGGCTCTGGCCATGCACCTTTGTGCCCCAGCCTGGCTCATGGCTGCTGGGGGATCCTTGCGGCAGTGGCAGCGTTGGTGCCGTGGGGTTTGGGGCACCCAAAGAGAATCTGAAAGTTGCAGCCCCACGGCCAGCGCTTCCCTCTCTGTGGTTTCCGTCTCCAGCTCAGCAAATCCGGGGGCTCTGACAGAATTTCCCTGCTACCATGGACTCATTTTCTTCCCTTGAAACCCTGCGCCTGCCCCGCGGCCGGGGATAAAAGGAGGGCACGGCCACAGGGCCGAGCACTGTGCAGAGCCCTGCAGAGCCCAGCTCCAGCCCTGCTCGCAGATCCCTCAGCTCCACAGCACCATGAAGGTCTCCGCAGCCGCTCTGGTCGCTCTCCTCCTCGTGGCCGCCTGCTCCCCATCCGAAGCCCATCTCGGTGAGTGCGGCACGGCTGCACCCTCCCTGGGGCTCACTGTGCCACTGCTCCATAGGAGCTGCCGGGGCAGACTGAGAGCTCCATCCCCATCAGCAGGGGGAGGGCTGGGAGCAGGAGGCCAAGGCTGGCACCCAGGGAAGAGGACACAAGAGGGGAGATGGGAGCTGGCAAATCCCCCGGGAGCCCCTGTGCCTGGGCTCTCACCAGGGCTCTCTGTCTCTGCCCTCACAGATGGTGTCCCCACCACGTGCTGCTTCACCTACCACCAGCGCCCCATCCCACGGCGCCTCATCACCTCTGCCTATATCACCAGCAGCAGCTGCAGCCAGCCAGGAGTGATGTGAGTACCACTGGGGGCTAAGGGGGCCACGGCTGGGGCAGAGGGATGGGGACGTGGCTGGGGACCTACTGCGGGCACCCCGCTGCCCTGGCCAAGCACTCTAACATGGGACTTGTCCTGGCAGCATGGTCACCAAGAAGAAGGAGCTGTGCACAGACCCCCGGGCGGGCTGGGTGCAGGCACATCTGCAGCACTTCCAGAGCCTGAAGAACTGATCCTTCCCCACTGCCTCCCGTGATGCCCCTGCTGCTCCCCCAGCCCCGGGTGCACAGGAGAGCACTTGGACTGCAGCCTTCCTCAATGGGACAGCTTATTCTATTTAACTTATTTAAACAAAGTATTTTTTTGCTAAAAAAGGGGAAAAAATCCCCAAAATAAATTAAAGTTCTAATTTAAACTGAAAATAATTTAAACCAGATCAATTTGCTTGTCAATGAGCAGGCAGGAGTTTCGATGCCTGAATAAAGTGTTTGTGTTATCAACCCCTTGGTGTGCCTCTGAAGTCCCTGCTGCAGCCCCGATGCGAGAGACAAGAGCCATGGTGACCCCATTGCTCTCCACGCATCCTGGGGCCACTGCTCCCTCTGGAACAGAGCAGCCTCAGCCCCACAGCATCCCCCACGGTGCCTCCCCCTCCCCAGGCTGGGTTCAGCTCCGCTGCCACCCATGGGGTGCCACCAGCATCTCAACTGGGTGACCAGTGCCAGCTCCTGTTAGGGAAGCAGCCCGGCATCCCCTGCGATGCCAGGAGGAGGCTGGGGCCACCACAGCAGCTCTTGCCCTGCAGTGCTCAGGTCCAACCAGCAAAGTCACGTCTGTGAAGCCCCAAGTTTTCTTAGGGAGAACCTGCTCATCTCTAGGGCAGGGCCTGGGAGGGCAGGTTGGGGTCGGGGTGTCCTGCAGGGATCCCAGCCTCTTGGTCCCCAGGGCAGGTGTCAGGAGCTGGGACCCTGTGGGAGGGTCCCTGTGCTGGTGGGTCCAGCGCCTGGGCTGGCTGCAAGGTGGGCACTGCGAGGGGCAGGGGGATGATGAGCACAGCCAGCCCGTGCCACGTTCCCTCCCTCTCTCCCTCCCTGGCTCACAGCCCTGAGCCTGTCCCCATGTCCCAAGTAGCAGTGGTGGCCACGTGGCTCTTGGGACCTTGTGTTCCACCTCCCAGCTGCAGCCCTCACCAGTGCCCGTGTCGCTGCAGCCACAGCATTCCCAGGAATACACCTCCTCTCCCAGGTTGGAGCAGCGCTGGTGGGTCCCATGGGAGCCACAAGAGTGGCAGAGCAGCAGTCACCAGGGCCTGTTGGGGCAATGGGAACCATTGCCACCAAAGGCCCCTGTGATGGATGGGGGGTGCCAGCCTGGTACCTCCATCCCCAGCCAAAGGAGGGGACCTCAGGGACCACCAGCACTCACCCATTCACCTCTGCCTCCTCCCGTCCCACGGGGCACAGGCACAGGCTTGTGCCACAGGAGCTGTGCCGCTGATAATGGTCGCCAAAGGCTCCATCCTCCTCCCAGGCAGCATCCCTGTGGGCCCAGAGGAGCGCTCAGCCCTGGGGCCGTGGGGAGGCAGGAGGGGATCGGCCGGAGCACCGCAGAGGGGAAGGAGGCAGCGGGAGGGCACCGACCCCTCCGGGATGTTGATGCCCAAGCGAACATCTCTTCTTGAGGGTGACCCTGCCCTGGCAGAGCAGGCAGCAGAAGCGGTGCAGGGCGGAGCGCAGTGCCTGGCCCTGGGGCAGACACAGCATCAGAACCAGTGATGATGGCCTCCCGTTCACCCCCCGCAGCTAGGTCCAGCAGAAGGACCTGCGGACGGAGGTGATGCTTCAGCCCCAGCTCTCCTCCATCCCGGCCCTGGCTCTGGTACCCCGGCAGGGACACTCACTTGAACCCCCCCAGAACTGGCAGACGCAGCCCCGCTCGCTGCCGCAGGGGGAGTGGAAGGTGCGGGGACAAGGCCGGGCTCTGCCGGTGACCGAGGCGCCCGGCTGGCGGCAGAGGCAGCAGCTCTGGGGATGACAGGGGCGTCTGGGCTGTTGTTTGCAGGCAGCTGCCAGAGCATCCCTGGGGGATCGGTGGCCTGTGCAGTGCTGGACATAGGGAATGGGGACCGTGATGCCCTCAGGCCTCACCTTCCCTGCCACCCGCTTCAGCTCCTCCTGGATGTCAGGGAAGAGGAAGCCATAGAAGCCCTCTTCATCGGCCTCTCTCTCCTTCAGCCTGCTGGTGTGGGACTGCAAGAGGGCTGCCGGCGGTGCAGGGGGTGCCATTAGCAGGCACTCAGCAGGCAGTTCCCATGGAGGCAGAGCCCACCCTGATGGCAAAGCTGCCCCAGCACAGGACCCAGCAGCACAGGGGGATGATCACTTCCCTGGCCCTGCTGCTGCACTCACAGAATCCCAAGGGTTGGAAGGGACCTCAAGAGATCATCTGGTCCAACCCCCCTGCAAGAGCAGGGTAACCTAGAGTACATCACACAGGAACTTGTCCAGGCGGGACTTGAATATCTCCAATGTGGGAGACTCCACAACCCCCCTGGGCAACCTGTTCCAGTGCTCTGGCACTCTCACAGTAAAGAAGTTCTTCCTGATGTTAACGTGGAACCTTCTATGCTCCAGTTTACACCCATTGCCCCTTGTCCTATCTTCCCGATACAAGCCAGGATGCCCTTAACCTTCTTGGCCATCTGGGCACAGACCTGGCTCGGCTTTAGCTGCCTTTTGACCACCCCCCAAGTCATTTCCACCCGCCTCTTTTCCCTGGTGCAGGGGGTTCTTGCGACCCAAGTGCAGCATCAGCCCTGAGCCTTGGGGAACCTCGCCTGGGCACGGGCTTCTTCACCTTGGAGGGGTCAGCCATGGCCCTTTTCATTTCCCTGCCCTTCCTGGGCTATTCCTGGCTCCCCGTGGTGATAACAAACGCTGATGTGACCCGTTCATCCCGCAGGATTTATCCAGTCTCACTCCAGCAACAGATGTGCATGAGGTTTTATTAAACCTATTGGGCAATGTACAGTAGTGTGGAGTGGGGGAGAGCAGGGAAGGGAACAGAGGCAGCTCCATAATTTAACAAGAACATCGAGATAACAATGGGATGCAAAGAAATAGAGCTTATGGAGAAGGCAGCTTCATGCCAGAGGTGCGGGTTGACTGCTGCTGCTGCTGGTGTTGCTGGAACCAGTGCTGGTCCATGCAGAACCTCTTCCCATTCCGCAGCTCCACGCTGGGGGCAGAGAGGAGCTGCGTTAGATGGGGGAATGCGGGGTCCAGCCCTGCCCTGGGGTTCCCTGCAGCATCCTTTCCCCACATCCCAACAAAGGTCTGACTTTAAGCAATCTGGAGCCTTGGCTTCCTTCCTGCTCTTCTTGCTGATGGCTGAAATGGGGAATTTTGGGGCTATTTGTGATGGAGCGGTGAGAAGGGCAGTGCGTGGGAAGAGCCAGAGCAGTCCCCCCCCCCCCAGGATGGCACCCATTGGGGGTGGCTTGTCTTGGGCATCCTCAAATGCCAAACAACCCATAGGGAATGTGGGTGTGTGAGAGTGAGGAGGAGGGAGCCAGGGAGGAAGGCTGGGTTGGGGCACTCACCGCACAGCCCTGTGGGAGCAGTGGGAAGGTGTCTCCTGGTAGCTCTTGATGAGGAGGGCAGGGATTTTCTTCTGGATGAACATGTCCTTGTAGCAGCAAGCGCTATAGGGGCTGCGGACTGAGAGGAGGCAAAAGGGGTTGGTGCTCTCCCACCCCTGGTACAAGCGATGGGGGGGTCCCCCCTGGGACTCTCTTGCTCCCTTCTGCTACAAGGGGTTCCCTCTCACATCCCTCCCAGTGCTGCTTTGCTCCAGGGTAGGACCCCCCTGTTTCCCTACCCGTGGAGAGCTTATTCCTGATCTCCCCAGCCTGGGTGCCGCCTCTGAAGCCATCAACTAGCCTGATTTGGTCACTTGGAACAAGACCAGGACACCCCTGTGCTTGAGTCACCGGCGATGCCCCTCAGTCCCCTAGACCCATGGCAGAACAAGGAGCTGAAGCTCTCATCCTCCTCCCTGAAGTCCCAGCCCCACATCAGTGGAGGAGTCAGGAATGATGCTGGGGCAGCCATGGGGAACGGGTCAACATCCGTACTCACAGGATACACCCTGGCTTCCAGTCCAGAGAGCTGCCAGCAGCAGGGAGAGCAGGGCCAAGGAAGAGAACTTCATGTTCAACCCAGAACTCGGTCAGCTCCAACAAGCTGGCAGCTCTTGCTGAGTCAGGGCCACCGAGAGCTACCTGCCTCTGCTGCCTGGGCTTCGACATGATATACCCCCTGGCCTGACTTTCCATGACAGCTCTGGACTCTCCCTGGGGAAAGAACCGCCCCAGGATATTGATAAAGGGCAACCAGTGAATGGAAATTCCTTGTCCCAGCGCCTCCATCCCCGCGGTACCTGAGGGCTGCTGTGAAGCATGATGAGCAGCAGCAGCAGTGGGTGATGCGCCAGGGCCAGCAGTCTATTTTGGGGTTGGTTAAACCACACAGGATGATGCTCACGCCTGCCAAAGCCACGGGTGAGTTCATGTTTCAAACTCAGCCCTTGTCAGCTCAGCTGCAATGTCTCTGTGGTAATTCTGCACTGGGTGAATGGCTTGGCAATGGCTGGGCTTTAGCCCAGCTTGCTGTGAGACCCATCGCTGACTGCCCATCCTGGTGGCCGTGCCCATCACGGCACCCATCGCAGTGTCAGTGCCCATCACATCTCCTTGTGGCATCCTGGGAGCTGTCACTGGGGACCAAGCAGGCAATCCTGGTAGAGGGGTCTGTACTCATTAAGGTGCCTGACAAGGAGCATGGGCTGTGCCTGTCTCTTGCACCTCTCACCGGTGGCTTCCCCAGAGCCCACATGGATGTGATTTGGCTCCACACCCCCCCCCATTTCCCTCACTTCAGCTCTTCCCAGATCCTTACTGACTCCAGGACTTACATATATGGCTTAACACCAGGTAGGAAACCCAGCAGCAGGATCTGCCTGCTCCCAAGACACTTGCACAGCCAGATGTTTGCATGCATGAGATGACATTTAATTCCCTTCTGTGTGTTGTACAACATGGAGCCATGGAGCTGCTTCCCTTAACCCCCCTGCTGCTGCCAGGCCAGTGAGCACAGCCTTGACATGCCACTGCTGCCTGTGAGAGCTGCAGGCAGCTGCCTGCGTGTAAAGCAAGGCTGAAAGCATGGGGCTGAGAGCAGGGCTGGACCCCAGCGCCCCACGGGGTCAGCACACCCCATCCCAGTGGGATGCTGCCCTTTGCCTTTGGGAAGGTGGTGGTGGTTCTCATAACGTGATTGGAAGGATGTCCCCAGTGAGCTGCTATTCCCAAACATGGGGTCCCTGCAGCCACCTCTGCTAAGGGGTGGCCTTTGCAGTGTCCTGTCCCCCATGAAGGGGACTCCTTGTGCTGCCTCCAGCTGCTCCGCTAGCTGGGAATGGAGAAGGAGCTGACCGGGAAGCTCTGCTGGTACTTCTTTACCCAGGCCCTGCTCGCCTGGGTGCAGATCTCCTTCCCGCTCCTCACCCTGAAGCTGGGGCAGAGATAAGATGTGGTTAGCAGGGTGCTGGTACAGGGACCCCAGCGCTGAGTCTCGGAGGGGCTCAGGATTGAACCCCCCAAAGCAAGGCACCGGGTCTAGAGGTGCTTCACCCCCTGAGCTGGGTTTCGGGTACTCACATCACAGCCTTGTGCGGGCACTCGGGGCTGGTGGGGTAGCAAGCAATGATGTTGTCCCTCTTGATCCTTCTCATCTGGAAGTTGAAGCAGCACTTGTCTGGCACGGCCGGGGCTCCTGGGGACACAGCACAAGCTCAGCTTAGCTCAGACACCCCGCTCTCCATCTCATCCCTCCCATCCCCACTGCAGCTCCTTAGGGGGAGCCCCCTGTCCCCCATGCACAAAGCAGACCCCTGTCCCCAGAGTGCTCACTCTGTGCCGGGCTCTGGCAGCACAGCACAGCGAGGAGGAGGGCGCAGAGCCCTGCGGCTGCCTTCGCCATGCTGGGCTGCGGGAGGCTGCTGTGAGCTGGGGTCAGGGCCAAGGGGCTGCCTTTATGGGGCTGGCTTCCCCCAGGGCCAGCAGTTACGTGTGCAGGGGGAGGACCTGGTCCCCTGCCACATCCCAAAGCACAGAGGGTGAGTAATGCTCATCCCCTCCCAGCACAGCCCCAAGAAGGGGGAAATCTGCTCCCAGACCACGCTTTGGGCCCCCGAGTGGGATTTTCCCTTAGCAGTGTTCTGGCTGGTGGCCAGGCTGCTCCCAAGGTTTGGCTCCACATCCCCGTTCCCTTGCCAGCCTGAATGCCCCATGGTAGGAGCCCCAGCATGGGCAGAGGATACAGAGATCTCCTTTTGGATGGGACCAGGCCAGATTCAGCATCCTGCAGGGTCCCCAGTGGTCCATGTCCTCCCCCTGCACCACAAAGGTTTACATCCTATTGCTTTGCACTCCGGCCCTGGGACAAACACCTATATATCCCCCTGCCAACCTCATAGAAAGCAGCTCCTGCCTGGTTGCAGCAGGCACGTACACAGCTCCGTGCTGGGTTTGGGGCTGTTTGTCAGGGCTGGGAGAGGCCATGCAGGTGGTTCCGCTTCTCTCCCCCCGGCGCCGAAGCAGCAGCTCGTGTTCTTGGCCACGCTGAGCTGGGAAAGGCAGGGGCCAGTCTGGGGCTTCCTCAGTGGATTTGGCCTGGCTGCAGCTGTCCACAAAGCCCCCTCTCCCCCCCAGCCCTGGCAAATCCCAAGCGCATCCCAGCTGCTGGCAGCTGGTGAGTGGTGGGAAGCAATGGGAAGATGCAGATGTGCATCCCTGCCAGCCCGGCTGTGCTGCATGAGGATGGGGATGCTGTTGGCACCCCCATGGCTTTGTAGGTACCCTGGTCTGCACCCCTATTGTAGAGACTTGGATGGGGAGAGCATGGGGTGCTGGTCCAAGCAGGGAAAGGTGGGAATGGTGGGGTCGTGTGTGTGCTTCCATGTGTTGTTCTTCAAAGCCACTTCCCAGAAATCAGCTCTCTTTCTGTTTGGGCACACATGGGGGATAACAGTGGGATAGAGCAAGTGGGGCTGGGTGATTCCCCAGGGCTTGTGAGTGCAGACGAGGTTGTTTCCATGCTCGGCTGGTGGAGCGGAGCACCATCACGTCATCATCCCAAATCCCATTTAATCTCTCCTTGGGGAGACTGTAGGAAGTGGAGGAATGTGGATGACTCTGGTCCTGGTCCGGCGCAGCTGCCTGGCTCGTCTTTCTCTTCCTGGATCCATCTTTTCCTCTTACCCCCTTTCTCATCCCCTTGCACAGAGGAGGCCCTGGCCTGGCTGGGATGTGTCCCTTTAAGGGCAGAAAATATTCCCTGCAATAAGAAAATGAAAGAGAAGCTCAAGCAAAAAGGTTCTGTTGGACTGGGGAAGGCCCCTGTTAAAGACTCCCAGGGAAAACGGTGGGATGCATCAGGCTGGGGAAGTCCAGGGTTGACTTTCCAAGCACCTGCAGCACCCCTCTAACCTGACCCCAGTCACCAGCATCTGTCCCATGGGGTGAGTGAACCCTGTGGAGGGAGGATTTTGGAGCACAGGGGATTTTCAGCCCTGACCGGGCCCCTGACCCCACTGGCACTGGTGGATGCTGTGGCCCCAGCCTCCCGTGGGCACCCCACATGGCTGCTGCTCTGCACAGCTCCTCTGCAGTCCTGAACAGAAAGCAAAAGCAGCTCCTGGGATAACCCCCCCCTCCTCCAGGAGTCTCTCAGTGATTAACCACTCTCGGTGCTCACAACCAGCCCCATCTCACAGGGCATTGCTGGGGCTGCCAGAGGGAGCTGCTGGAAACTCTGGGATACCCGCTCGGTGGCACAGCTCCCATGGGAATGCTGCTTGCCCCTGGGTGAGAGCTGCACTTCAGATGGGTTTGCAGATGTGTTACTGATGCTGGGGCACTCCAGTTGATCAATAACCCCAGGGGCCGGTGTGAAGACCTAAGTGCAGCATCCTCAGGACGGGACGGCTGTTGCAGCTGGAGCAGCCAAAGCCATGAACAGGATCAAAGCAGCTTTTCCAGGTCAGGTCTGCTTTCCAGGCAGGATTTGTTTGATTTATGTCTCTGTCAGATCAGCCTTTCCATTACCTCGCTGGGGCTGATGGTGAGATAACCACTAAATACACACCCCACGTGTGCTCTTTCCTCCTATAAGGCCCTTGCCTGGCCCCAGCTGCTTGCAGAGATGGTTCATGCTGTGATGGGTGATGGGTCTGCCCTTACCTGTCCCCAGGAAGAGGAGGCTCAGTGTCCTCGCCTGCCACCACCTCCTACCCCCGTGGAGCTGGATCCTGCCCCAGTGCCATCACCTTCCCCAAAGACCAGCAGAGGAGTTTGGGGTTTTATTTGTGTGCCCAAGGCTGGGAATCTGCATCTGATGCCCAGAGTTGCTCCCTGGGATGGGAGTGGGTTGTGCTGAGGCATCAGCTGGTACCTGGCTGCCCTGGGGCTGTGGGGATGGGCCCATCTCCTGCTGTCAGAAGATGCAAGCTGTAGAAATAAGATGAATGGGATGCTGCATCCTTGTGCAGGAGAGGTTTCACCAGGAAAATCGTGGCCAAGCACCCATTTCAGACACATGAATCCCTTAGGAGCAGGCAACTGCTGGAAGAAGCTCTCACTGCCTCCTGCAGGAGGAAAGGCAGTGATGTTCAATGGCTGCAGGGACCCAGTAAACCCAATGGGATTGTGTGGCTTTGATGTAGATCTCTGGGGTTTTGGAACCCTCTCTTGATTTTGGAATGTGGTGGCTGTGCTGGGGCAACCCCACTTTGCTGGCTGCCGGTGCCAGGTTGTCCTATGTCCCAGCAGCCACATAATGGGAATAGCAGCCCCAAAGTTAAAGGTTTTCAACCCAAAGCAGTGGATGAGGGCCTCAGAGCATCCATGGCAGGGCTGATCCCAGGGACTAAAAGCTTTCATTTGGGACAATGGCTCCTGTCCACATCACGGGGGGAAGGAGCCCTGTGGTACCCACGCTGTGCCGGTCACGAGGCTCATCTCCCGGCATTCCATCATCATCATCATCATCATCATCATGTTCCATCATCACTCGGGTGTCCCAGGCTGAACTTTCCCCCTTCCTCAGCATCTCCCATGTGCTGCCTGACTCATTTCCCGTGGCCTTTGGCCCCAGTATCCTGGCTGCTGCCTCCGCACCAGGAGCAGCCCTGGCTGCAAATCTGGTTTCACACCAAACTCCTCTGCTTGCCATTGCGGTCGGGGACGCGCTACTCGGTGTGAGTGATCTCTTCCCCTGCTCCCAACCTTGGCCTTTGAAACCCAAAGTGTAAAACTGAAGTAAAACCAAAGCACCATCTGCCTCCTTATCTGCAGGCTGCCTGAAAGGCAAGAAGTGGCATTTAATGGTGGAAACAAGAGAAGAAACCCTAAAAGAGCAAGTAAATGCTCATAAAATCATCTGCACCCAGGAGCTGGAGGCAAAACCAATAAGAAATCAGGTTAGGGACTTGCTGAGCTCTGGGTTTTCTCCAGGCACAAGGCTGAAGGCTGGGCCACGCTGGTGGGATGTGGGGAGGTGGTGATGGGCAATGGAATCAGCATCACCAGGACGTGAGGGCTCTGCTGCAGCACCCCAGTTCCAATCATGACCCGGCCCCAGCTCCGTGGGCTGCAGCTATCAGCAGCTTCAATCGGCGTCTGTGGTGTTGGTGGCTGGTATTTTCACACATAGGTTGTGAAATCACCAGCCCGGGGAGGAAAAGACACTCAGTGGAAAATGAACTCATTTCCCTTGGGACCAGGCTGGGGTATTTCCCTTGTGCATCCCTGAGCTGGGGGAGCTGAGGGAAACTGAAAGTGGGGAGCACTGGATGTGACACCGGTGATGGAGATGAACATTGGCTGTGTGAGGTTCGGCTCCACCAGGGGCCTGATCATGATCTGGGTGAGGCTCCAGCCCATGCTCCTGCCGGATGGATGTGCTGGCTCTGCCAGGCTGGGCATGGGAGGGCAGAGCAGGGTTTGCGGTGCCGGCCCGGAGCACAGCATCACTGGAAGGGTTCCGGCATCCCTCCAAGCCTTGGTGATGTTTTTCCTCCCGTAGGCACAAGATGTCAGTGCTGCATAAGGAACAGCAGCCGGTGCCATCCCAGTGCATGGGTGCTCCTGCTCCATCACCTCGGGGTCCCCAGCATCTGGTGCTGCCCCCGTGCTCTCGGGGTCCACATCGCTGTCAGGGACCCACCAGCCAGCCCCATGGCCTCAGGTCCTTCTCCTTTGGAGACCCCACAACGCTCCAGACACCCCCAGCCCCATGGGAGTCATCTGGGGAGAAATCCAGAAGAAAGAGGAAGATGGAAGGGGATCAGATCCATTCCCCACATCCTATAGCACCACCATCACTGCCGCTGGCCGTCCTCTCCATCCCCGTGGTGTGCAGGGGATGAAGAGCAGCTCTCCTGGCGTCAGCATCCCTCGAGGGGAGACGAGATGCTCCATGCTGGGGGAAACCAGAGGAGGGGATACAGAGGGAAAAGAAGCTGGGCATGAAAGAACTGAAACTCTTATCAACCACACGTGGAATGGGGAACGTCAAGTGAGTGTTGACTCGTGTGGAGGCTTCGGGGACCTGGGGTGACCAGAAAAATAACACATCAAAGACCTCGCGTATGCCTGAAGACAGATAAAAACCCGGAGCCAAAATGTTCTATGAATATTTAAGTGCCATCAATATTTAATTAGCAGATAGAGAGAGATTAAGAGCAAAGGGATCCATCTTCCACGTGGGCTCCAGTGCTGCTCTGTGGGTACATGGGGGATCATGGGGGGCACGGCACTGCCTGCATCAGGGCTCAGTACCAAGATTGGGGCACAGGGACACTGGAAGAAGGGAAAGAGCCCCCTGAAAGGAGAGGCTCTGCTTCCTTATCCCTCTATTGTGGAGCTGGGTGGGACAGGGGAGGGATAACTTGTGCTTGGCCCAAGTGCTGCGTCTCCAAACCAGTGATCCAAGAGAATCTCCAAGAAATTCTTTCTGGAGATTCAGAATG